AGCTTTTTGAGAAAGGGGGGTGCACACCCTTGAGAAAAGGGGGATCACTTCATTTTCACCCGTTTTCGCGGGTCATTTAATAAACTTTCCAGACAAAAAGGGGGTGCTCACCCCTGCACCCACCTCTGGATCCACCTATAAATCAAGTCACTCTTATAACATGATATAAAACATAATTATCCAGGTCTCCTCCATACTAGTTCATTAACAACGGTAAAAATAATTAATTCACAACAACATTCTCCAAATAACGCAACTTTACAAGTACAGACATACCTATATTTTAACAAGAAGCCAAATTAAGTATGAGGTGTTAAACATATTCCAGGAACAATTTATTTCATTGCATGCTCAAGAAATAGCGTTTGAAAAACTAAGTAATATTGTCTGTTAATTCTATCCCTGTACTTGACAGTAATTAGTTTTTCCTATCTGTTGAGAACGGCCCTCCCAACACACACCCCTGCTTTGAAGCTGGGGGCCCCTCAAGGATGGAGTGGATTGTTAAGGGCACAGTAGCCCCTGTCAGATAAACCCTCCCGCTAATATGATGACCCCACAATTCATCTGTCGTGGAATTGTCATGCCTGGTAAACCAAGCTCTATATTGAAACAACTTTCTCTGATAACCACTGACTTATTAGGGCAGATGAGGTTTTTTGACCCTTGCCGGAGGATTATTGGACGCAGTATCTCCTAACGTGTGGCTGGTCCGACACTGATCCGTCTATCCTAACCTCTGGGTTGTTTCATGGCTGATAGCTACGGCAGGGGACAAGCTCAACAATGGAGATAGCCAGCTTCGGGAGCTGCTTGTTCTGAGGGACGGTGGTGTCCTCGTACACACAAGTATACCAGAACACATCAAGGGTAGAGAAAATGACTCCTAGTGATAGGAGGTGCTTTCTGTTGAGTGAGTGTCAGCAGCACAGCTGGGATAGATAGATCGGTAGATAGATAGGCACATAGGTAGATAGATGGATGGATAGACAGATTCTCAGGACAGATAGATAGATGAATATATAAATACTTAGGATGGCTGGATGGGCCTATGGATAGATCTATGGAGGGATGGATCTATGGATGGATGGATCTATGGATGGATGGATCTATGGATGGATGGATGGATCTATGGATGGATGGATCTATGGATGGATAGATCTATGGATGGATAGATCTATGGATGGATGGATCTATGGATGGATGGATCTATGGATGGATGGATCTATGGATGGATGGATCTATGGATGGATAGATCTATGGATGGATGGATCTATGGATGGATGGATGGATGGATGGATGGATGGATCTATGGATGGATGGATGGCTCTATGGATGGATGGCTCTATGGATGGATGGATGGATGATACACTTGGAGAGGTGGGAGGGGGAGAGGTGTTGACACCTAGACATCACTAACAAATGACACATTACAGAAATATAATACCAATTATTCAAAGGACATTTTCATTCAAAACAGCTATCCTTTAACTTTTTAAGTTGAAGCAAGTTTCATATCCAGTTTTGACATGCAGGAAACAATATATCTTCAAGCAGAGAGGTAGGATTTCCCATGTGTATTAAAACAACTTTGTTTTAAAGTAACTTTAAACAAATATAGAACATCTCTAGATTGTCCTAGGCCATTATTATACACATCTATATTTTATATGTTTCGTTAATCTGATTCATTATATATCTTGTTTATGTAGTTTATAGAATATTGTCACTGTTTCTGTATGGAATGTTTGTGCAATGAAAATATCTTATCTTATCTTATCTACCTTAAAATCTTCATCCAAATGCATATACATTGTTTTACCTCTAGATGGGACAATGGGTCAGTGAATAATTCTTTTTGCAGTGTCAGCAATTTTTCAGGTGCTGAAACATCCTCCTCTGTATTGCCAGTACAATGTATCGGTGATGACTGTGATACAATCATACAATTGTTGTAAGAATATCATACAATTGCCATATTACTGTCAAACATTGATCATATGAATATCATAAAATGATCATATGAATAACATATAATCATCATATGAATATCCTACAATGATCATATGAATGTAAAACAATTGTCCAACAAATATCTCTTCTACAGATCATACTGTGTATCAATCATATCCATAAATGAATCACATCCATCTTTAACCATCTAACGCTCCCAGTAAATGAACTGTTTACTGCATACAGAATCGCTGTTCAAATATGTTCATTTTCTTGACCAAAATAGCAACAGGCTCTTGTCAAGAAAAACTTATTGAGACTCAAACGCACATTACGCTACGCAACTCAGCGGAAGATAGAAAAAGTCTCTGCTTTACAAAGAAAAGTCAGGTTAAAAGCGAGATAAATATAAGCAGGTTATTAGAAACACATCTCCAATGTAATTATTTAGGTCTTAGTGAAAAAGCTTTTCTATTTCATGGTATAAGACTTAAATGACAAGGCAGGCCTCTGTCTGTTCCTCTCAACGTGAGCATTGCGCTCTGGTCACTGGTTGTCGCAACTATACTAACTCAAAAAATCAACTTGAGCATGCATGTCACTTTCAACTGACACTCAAATGCTACATTTTTAAGCCGGCTTGTGGAACAAGACGAGTTTAAATCAAGTATTTAATTTGTCTGACACATTGCATGGTCGTATTGATAACCGCTTGACAATATTTGTCTCCCTTTTATAAGAAATAACAGTGTTGAAAAGCTGATGGTTTTTAACTAGTGTTTTTTCAGTGACATTTGTCTGCTAAAGAAGTGTCTGTCTCTTAATTTCTTGCAGATTTATCTCGTCAGGTGTGTCTTGAGCGAATAACGTCAGTTTCAAATGACATAGTGCTGTCTATTTCAACATTGTCGATTGCTAATTTCTTGTCACTGGAGTCTAATTTCCTAAGCAACATGCACCAAACAAGCACTGCAACTCTGTGAAGAGAAACAGGACTCGCCTCTTCCTGAATACGCAACAACAACTTTGCACGAAATGATGCAAAACAGAGATGTGCAAGACAGTTGTCATAACTGTGATTGGTACAAATATCATTTTATGTAAATTCAAGTGACTCATTTGAGAACAAAAATGTACCATTCAGAACCACGGCGGTTTGTTAGCGTCATCTTCAATACGATTTGCAAGCATAACACTTTTGGAAAGTCTCCTAACAGTATCTCTAATCGCAGCTGAGCAAAGCCAGCGTAACCCATCTGATACCTCAGGAAGAAAGATCATAAAATAATTTTCTAATTCACTCTTTTCAAAACTTTTATGACATGCTTTCAACTGCACCCTTCAACAATGACAGACTTCTGCTGTGAGTTTTATCTACTCAGCTTCAGAATTAGAATCGCCAGCAAGGAAGATTACAAGACAACCAAATATGGATAATTGTATTTGGAGAAAATAACAGTTTTTTGTTTTTTTATTGACAGGCAAGTGATTTGTGGCATGGATCATCTTGTAGATATGAATTTGGATGAAGGAGGATTAAGTTTGAAATAACCATGGAAACGAAATTTCTGTATGATCAAAGATGCCTACTAATAGAAAGTGACTATATTTACAAGTTGAACAATGTTTGACGTTTGTGTTTTGTGTTTCCTATCATTATACAATTAGTGTCAGTCAGCTAGAGACTTTCAGAGCTTCAACAATATTATTGCCATTCTATACATTATGGCTTTTCCATAACTGTTCTTGAAAAGTTCAAACTTCTTATAACATGGGTGTTGAATTTCTTTTTCAACAAACTGAAAATGCAAGTCTTGATTTGAGTAGTACTGACATTTATTTATTTATTTATTTATTTATTTATTTATTTATTTATTTATTTATTTATTTATTTATTTATTTATTTATTTATTTATTTATTTATTTATTTATTTATTTATCTATCAGAACAAAACAGGATAATAATAAAGTTAGTGTCTATTAATACATCAGTTTAAAAAACCCACAAATTTGTCTCTTATTAAACTAAATATAACAAATTTATAAAAATTAAAATTAACACAAAAGTCGACTTGGCTGAAACTACACAGCAGTTTAAATAGAAACAAATAAGTCATGAAGAAAATATTATCAAAATGCCAGCCTCTGAATCCATTAAACAGAAATGTGTTACTGGTTAGAACATAACAGATCTCTCCTGTCACCTGGTATATATAATTCAATGTAAATGTTTGTAATAAATTCAACACAAGATAAAATGAGCAAGCTCTTTCTGATAATACTGTCACAAGAAACTTGCAATAAATTTGCTGCAAAACAGCAAAATTTGATAAGTCAATGTATTTATGATACAGAGTTAAAGTTAACCATTATTTTGGCATTCATGTCTTCAGCAGACTTACAGGAACACAAACATTGAAGTGAGACAATCATTAAGAATATGAAAATTCAGTCTCCATAACTACAAATCTGGTTGGAAAATTTTTGCAATGTGATATACTAAAAGTATCACATAACTATGTTTAAGAAAAGAATATGATAGAAATATTTAACTATTTTTATCAGCAGTTTTTACACAAGAGGAATGTACACCCAAATATTTCTAATCTTCAATGACATTTCAGATAGTTAATAAATAATGATTCATTTGTCACAGAAATAGTACTGGTTTATATAAAGTAGATATAACCAGCAAAAATCTCACAATTCAGAAACAGGACGTGGAAGCAACTGGACCCATTTCAATTAAAATCCAGTACTAAACCAGGCTATAATATTCATTTATCTTATATGACAGTAAAACAAGCATTTAGATTCAAAGAAACATTCAATACCAGCTACTCTCAGACATACACCTCCTCACGTCATAACTTCTATATAATCATATTACAGAGGATGTGATTTTCCTTACAACTTTTCATCCTGTCAAATATGACCCCCACATGAATCTCCCATTTCTCAAAGACATAAGGACAAAATTATGAAGAATAAGTAAACTTTTAACGAACATCGAACACAAAGTCATGCAAGAAGAAGTAAAGTTTTACCTAACACACAGGGAGAGTGCTTCATGCATTGTACCAGCTTGTGTGCTTGTAGATGCTCCGTCTTCCTGTTGTCAGTCGAGATACGATTGTGGCGATTATACCACTGCTGCCACCAAATCTTAGCCTGGCTGCAAGGAGGGGGGACAGGGGGGTGCCTAGCCATCAAGCTAAGTAAAATGCTGTGTTAGTTCTTTCATGGGCCAATCATCAGAGGAGGAGCCTAAGAGCTCTTGTCGACTGACGGCCAGTGATTCACAATATCTTCCTGGCTTTACAATCAGTTGTTGAATAAGGCCAGCACAGTAGGAATGGAACAGGAATCAGTCATATAGATCCAGTGATATGTATCTGCATCAGCAGCAGCAGCAACGCAATATGATGCGGAGTGTCCTCGGACGGCTTCGTAGCCCTGCTTCACCCTGTGTTTCTATCACTAACGGAGGCGTAACTGTCGACACACTGTGGGTTGAAAGGCCTCGCGAGGAATCGCAAACTTCGCTAATCACACAGTAACAACTCTTACCAAAGTAAACACAGGTTCAATAGAAGCGGGGACTGGAACTACGGGCAATCATAATTACGCCCTAAATCACTGCTACCTGTATCACCTTCCCCAAGACGGGAAATCCCTCACAAAAGATAAAAGAAAATGTCACAAGAGCAGCCATTAAATTTATGGTCCCTTTCTTTTCACAATTCAATAAATAACAAAAAAAAATTGAACTGTTGAACCACGGTTGAGTTCCTTTTTTTCTTTCTTGATGTAATAATATTCGTGGCATTGTGTTCAATAGGCTTGTCAATGGATGGTTGGCCTACCGCGATTCGAGCTCAGCTTGCCAGATCAATACTGAAAGCAGTATTGTGTCCGCAATATCTTTAACTGTATTGCCATACACATAAAAGGTGTATATAAAGGCGCATTGAGAGGCGTAAAATGGAACATTAGCACAATGAGAGCAACAATCATGTCAGTGATACAATAAGTCAAGCTTCTTTCTACGGAATAATAGCGGCACAGATAACCCCCGTTTCCCACACCACTATTCAGTGCAGCAATATTGGACACTGTTACCGGGGAAAGTAGCTATGCAAATTCCAAGGTTAAATGGCACAAATGGGTATCCTTAATTTTGAATACAAAATATTCTCTTCACGCTTAACTTGTGAAAGAATTTACTGAAAGGGTTTTCAGAAAGAAATTGCCAAGCAGGCAGGATAACTGACACAGTTTTTACAATAACGGTTATTCTTTGGACAATTCTATAGCTGGGCAAAATAGAATGTCACTCATGGACAATCAAACCTTCGCCCACAGGAGGTTAGAATTTTACTGACTGCAATGGATTTTTCGAGAATACTTTTGTCAGGAGAGAAAATTTCATGTAACGATTGATATTGTAAAAGTTGTCCAAATATCATATGCATATAGCTAAATAAAAAGAGAATTAACAAATATGAAAAATGGAATGGTTTACTTAATTCTTCAACTTTTTAATACTTAAATCAATATCTAAACATGATCTACTTATCAGGAGCTAGCAGAGGCTTGCCCATATGGCAAAGCCATTACCAGTTGTCATATGGCCAGTATATTGTATTAAATGTCTTTCCCACATTGAAGCATTCCACTGGTCATTAGGAAAACAGTATCACACAATCTGTGATGACTACAGCTTCCTTAAGGAGCTTCATGGGAGAAGTGCACTGTTAGTTCAGTTGAATGTACTGGTCAAAATATGACTACAGAACAAGATGGACACAAACGATCTGTTAATTAGGCGATAATCAGACAAACAGGGGCGGAGGAATGAATTAACAGAGGTCCCTAATGTATACTAAACTTCAGCCCTTTGAGCTGTGGCTTTGAACTTGGTCATATGGTGTTTCTAGGAAGACTATAGTTATATGGTTCATATAGATATGGAACACAAAAATTCATTGCCTATTCAAGGCCTTTTAAAGGCCTCTCAAGGCATAGAACTGTCATTTCCAAGGCAGGGTTTCAGCCTTTTGTCTGTCAATATTATTTTAAACCAGAATACTACATATAAGTCATAAGACCTAAAAAGCAGGATGTGCATCACAAATTTTCAAAATAATTTATTTTCAGAACCAACAAATATAACAAATCAATCATTAATTCAAATAGTCTGTTAACAAGAATATATTATTTTGTACAAACTTTCAATGTATAGGGCTCTTTAGCATTTTAGAGATTTTCAAGGCTTTTCAAGGTCAGCATTATTAAAAATCAAGGCTTTTTAAGAGTAAGCTGTAAATTCAAGGTGCTTACAAGTCAGCACGCCCTTGCTTAAAGTATGAGAGGAGATATGGTCTTGATAGAATAAAGGTCTCTTGGTACATATATTATCTCCAACGTTTTGGTCTTTAACTCTTCTAGGACATTACTATTTCTACAAAGTGATGTCATAAATTAATAATGTTTGTAGATTTACGAAACTTAGAGTTCATATCACTGAAATCTTTATCATGTTATTTTCCAAAAAGAATATTAAACAGCTCAAATTAATTCCCAGACTTTGTGCTTCAAAATGTGGTTAATAACACAGCATTAATATTTGTTTAATGACTTTAAAGAGTACTTCTGGAGTTCTATTTTCGTGCCAGTGTCAAACATAAGGAAACTCACAGAGATTTAAACATGTAATTAGCTCTTTTCAAATCTACCAAGAAGCTATCAAATTACAAAATCATAAACACAATTTGCATCACTGTTTTGCCTTTTCCGCCCACAGGAGTCTGTTTCGGGGAATAATCGTGACTGGTTGTCTTCTGTCCTTGATGTTATATGTTCACAAACCGCATCTTTTTCCAAATTTTCAATTTTCTACACTTGCCAAATTAAATACATATAACTCTGGATTTCAAAATATAACCTAACATTTTAAACTTTTTGTTCATATTAATTTACATTTTATAAATAACACATTTTTCAGTGGTCTAAAGTTTGTAGAATAAACATTTCACTACGACTTGATATGTCGACAATTTGTGTCTCTGATTAAGAAGGACAGGAAATGGTGCTGTGTTCTTCCGAAATGTCCAATCAAAATAGTCTTGACAGTTCAACATCCACATGAGATGAGGAAAATGTTATTTTTCACGTCTAAAATGTACAGCACCATGGACAGAACATGGTACCCCAAGGTGACGACTTCCACCCATGTTCTTTCAGCTTAAAAACTTCTTTGACATAAATGAAAAAAAACCTTTGACATAAATTAACTTTGGTTACCGGTATATGTTCAAGCTTGAGCCTGCTTCCCGTGCCGATTTCCTTGCACATGTCATAATACAAACTCAAGTGAAATATGACTGGCAGATGACTGCTTGTACATCTCACGACTCTACCTTTTCCAAGACTTGTGCCACTTTTTCCTTTTCCTACGATTCGAGTAAACAGGTCAAATTAATAGAATTTCATTCTCGATACATTAGCTGACACACCTGTCAAGCGCTCTCAGAAAAATTAACTTCATTTTTATATGTTTTTGAAGGCCTACAAGGCTTCTGGAATTGCTGCATGATAGTACGTGTTACGGTGATGAGGATCATTGCCTTTATCAATCAGATGAAGCTACACTCTGTTACACAGGCTGTGCACATCATGGTAGTAGTTGTGAGTTTAGTTTTACGCCGCACTCAGCAATATTCCAGCTATATGGCGCCGGTCTGTAAATAATCGAGTCTGGACCAGACAATCCAGTGAGCAAAAGCATGAGCATTTGAAGTTTGGATTTAGTATTTTGGTGTCTGTTTGTCTACATTATTGTCTATTCTCCAATTTCATCCTCATTTTCCATATTACTAACACATCCTCTGTATCACCACTCCTTCATCCATAAAAGCACCCATCCTCCATATCAGCCTAGCGGTTAAAGCGTTTGCTCGTCACGCCGAAGACCCGGGTTCGATTCCCCACATGGGTACAACGTGTGAAGTCCATTTCTGGTGTCCCCTGCCATGACACTGCTGGAACATTGCTAAAATAAAACTCTCTCATTCCATATCATCTTCTGCATAACCACCCTATTCTGGCTCATCGTGCCCTACCCTCACCATCCATACCCCACCCTCCATCTCATTACCTCCTCTTATCATCGACACCCCACCCTCCTTCTGACTACCTACCCTCGAAACCCTACCATCGTCACCAATACCCTACTGGTCCATCCACAGCATCCCAAGAGCATCAGGAAGGGGTCGGCTCACATATTTTACTATAATACTTAAACATGGGACCAATCACTTTAAAAAAAACCACAAACACGTGTTGCACATATTCAGCAATATGTTACCCATTACAAAAATTGAAAACATTCATTAAATAAAGATCTGATTATTTTTTTTCGACACTCACCAATAAACACACAATATAAGAGTATTAAAATGCAATTAAACTGGAAACAAAACATAGAGAAATATAAGGTTTACAATCTCTGTACCAAGTGAGCCTCGTCGGAGTGTAGGGTATTAAGTGGGATGTGTTTTTCTCAGAGACAAAAAGTCATTAAATACTGTTTATTGTTTACACGTTGCACACAACAGAGACGACGATTACCCAGAGATGCATCTACATCTGCATCGAGTCTGTGCATCATCACCATATGCACAAATAATTAAACACTCTCATGTTTTGTGTCTCCAACACATCTTTTCAATTCTCACACAGCAGGATATTAATGTTCTTGTTACCATATTGTTTCGTTTTCATATTCCTACTGTTATGACTCAAAAGGATTTGATATTTCATTTAAATTTCCAATGAGCATATTAGTCTGTATTTTACCATTTTCCTTTTAATTTCTGCAACAATTACAAAAACCGATAAATCATTAATTAATGTTTTTTCCAATAGTTGCTAGAACACTGCATAAGTAATCATGTTTGAATTCTGGTTAAAAAAATCACATTTAAATAATGGATGCTGTTGCAGGGAGTGTTCACCTTCCTTATTGGATGTTGGTGTTCCACACCTGACCTACACATTACTAGGTCAGAGTTCAACCCAGCCATTATGATCACCTTAACAAACCAGGAACAAACCACCTCCACTCTATTATCCCCGCTCCCAAACTCTCCCAAACCCACATTCTGCTAACCCCATGCCCTACGATCACCACATTAACCACCCTCCACTCTCCGAAACCCCATATTCTGCTAACCCTACACTCTACCATAACCAATTTAATGCTCGCCTCCACACTCACATTCTCCCCCAAACCCAACATTCTGCTAACCCCACACTCTACCATAACCACCCTCCCATTTAATGCTCACCTCCACTCTCCCAAACCCAACATTCTACCATAACCAATTTAATGCCTATGCTCTGCCACT